GAATATTCAATTAACGATATTTTGACCCCCCCCCCCCCAGAAATGCCAAAGCCCTAAAGCTAAAGAACTGAGATCGTGGCAGGTCCCTTGGGTGCTGAAACCATACTCCTAGCCTTGAGCAATGCTTGAGAAGGGGAGTCCCTGTTCTAACACTCAGGCCACATAGTCCGTCCCCACCCGACACGTGAGCTTCTATATTTTGAACCCCTACAGAGATAACTTCTATCCTCCTGAGTGTAGATAGGAAGGGTATCTTCTCCAAGGCATCATTCCAGAAGAACCTTTAGGTCAGGAAGCACCCAGTGATGCCAACTTGGGGTGTGACAGACGACAATAAAGAGACCCATGATACATGGCCCTTGCATGTGGGATCTCACAGCAGGAAGGCCAGAGAGACCTAACATAGAAAAGACTGAGGAAGGGTATGGGGGAGGGCATAGGGGACTGCAAAGAGGAGAAGTGGCCAAAGCAGCGAAAGGAAGACCAGGAGAAGGTCTCCACCCGCAAGCAAACAGCTCACCTCCACTCACAGGAGGTCCCTGGTCACTGGGATCCCATCACCGGTTCTGCAGGCTTCATTCGGCCCGAGCGATGCCTACACTCTCACCTACAAAATAAAATAAAATACCCTGACTGGCGGGGTGTGTTCATCCAACACGTCTCTGGATGAGTGCAGATTCATTGTATCCACTCACTTACAATATTTTATTTCCAATAAACACACTGATAGGCTACCGCTGGCTAAGCTGGGTTGAGTAGGTGGCAGGGGTCACGCCCCTGATACGAGCAACATGTCTCAGCACCTGCTCAGCGTCAGGCTCCAGGATCTGCACTTTGGTAAACTTTGCACACGTGGGGCTGTCTCCTGTGGGGTGACAGTCCTCAAGGGGCTCACAGTCTGAGAGGCAGGGAAAAAACAAGTGGTGAGAGCTATGGCAGGCTCGGAACACAGGAGAGAGCACCATAGCTGAGGTGGTCAGGAACGTAGTCTCCCAGGGGTTGGTTTGATACAGCAGGGGTCTTCAAAAAGTTGACGGAGAACGCATACTATGAAAAATCTGTGCATGGAGTTCAAAAATGTTTCTGTACCAAAATAACCTCATATTTTAATACTGTTTTTCACAAACATTTTGAAGTACTCTCGTATAATTTAAAAATCTCCTCTTGCAGTTGAGGCAACTGAGGATCAGACAGGTTACGCAACTCACTGAAGGCCACAAAGCTAGGTAGTGGTGGTGACCATTTCCCACTTAGGTCTGTGAAAATATGATTTCTCTGCACTGTTCATCACACCCATCTCTACCTCGTAACTACCTCGTCAGTAGTTCTAATTTGCATTTACCAACTTATACTTACCAGGGCTCTCCTTACCTTTAAATTCTCATAATGTGCTAAATAGCATATAGATTTCCTCTTAGCACAGCAAGCCCTTTATGAATGTAAATTTTTCTTGCCAGGCACGATTGCTAGGCCTCGATCTGAAGATCTGTCTTGAGTTTATATTTCAATCGTGTTAGGTAAAGAAAATGGATCACTGTCCTTAGTTTTGACTTAGCTATCTCCCACGATCTCACATACGATTTGAATGTAACCAATACTCAATTGAAAACCATAAAAGCGGTGCTTCCCTACGAAAATTATTCCCATATATATTTTTAAGACACTTTTTTAAAAAAAGAACTATTTTATTTAACTGTGTGCATTTTATTTATTTTGATTTGAGCAGAGAGGGACAGGGTGAGAGAGAGAGGGAAAGTGAGAAAGGAAGCTGCCAAGTCTGGGACTCGAACCACAGTTGGCCCTGTGGTAATCTAGCGCCCTTAAGTACCACGCCACCTGCCAGCCCCTATTCCCAGATATTTTAATAAATGCCAAGATATTGCAGGTAGGAGCTGCTGCCCCTTTGGCAGGGAGCTGATGAAATTCTGCTCCTTAAAATACAGAAATCCTGGGCCTGCAAGTGGCATGGTGGTTAAGGGTGCTGGACTCCCACATGGCGGACTGCAGTTCGGGTCCCAGACCTGGCTGCTTGCTTTCTCACTTTCCCTTTCCCTCACTCTGTCCCTCTCTGGTCAAATTAAAATAAATAAATAAATGAATAAATAAAATTAAGTAATTCTTTAAAAAAAAATACAGAAATCCTTTCTTCCTGCTCTTCCTCTCTCTTGCTGGTGCCCTGAGAGGCCCAGCTAAGCAAGGTCAGTCACTTTGCCTTTCTGGACAAAACAAACAATCCTGACACACACGCAAACACACACACACACACTCGCACAAGCCCAATCTACCCAATAGTAGTGTGTAAATATATGGAAATCGTATCGGGGCTACAAATGGAAATCTGCGACTAATCATAACGTGGAATTCCTGTCCTATAGAGGTCTGCTGCCGGGGATGGACTGTACCCTGGCAAGCTGGACAACCAAAATGCCTTTCCTTCCTTCTTTAAAAATTAGGCACTGCAGCTCTTCCAACTATTTGATAAGACAGTATAAATAACTGTGTCCTAAGGCAAGGACAGCAGAGCCCATTAAAAGCGTGTCTATTCCCGTGCCCCATCACGCCCCATCTCTCTCACACGTCCCAGAAAAAGTTCCTCTGACGGCTTCTATACGGGAAGTGTATCAATAGTTCTCCCTGAAAATGCTGGGGTTATTTTGCCTTCTGTCGTGCGGTCGAAGGCGAGATAGAGAGGGAGGCGATGGCGCGGGAACAGGTGCTTTCTGAACCTATTGAACACCGCTGCTACCCAGTTCCATCCCGGGTGCCTGAGAGCACGCAGGAAGTTTCCGATGCGCATTTCTCGGCCCAGAAGTAGCAATGGCCAACTAGAGAAAGAGAAATACGCCACACGCAGCCTGTATCACCGCCATTTGGCACTGAAGAGACAGAGCGCCTGAGGAAAAAAAATGCCCCCTCGGGACGCGCCGTTCACGTTGGCGGGACACGATTCCAGTCCTAAGACACTAAGGCACAGCCGGCTCGTTCTAGGGAGACTGTCTCTGTCTCTCTGTCTCGGGCTCTCTTGCTCTGCTGTGTCCGTCTCTCTCCCACCCCCCTGTCTCCCAGTCTCTCTCGGGCTCATTCTCTCCTAGGCTCTGCGGGCTCTCTCACGGGCGTTCCTCCTCCAGAGCAGGTCCCCGGCGCGGTCCGGACGCCAGCGCGCTGCCTCTTTTATCCGCCAGCCCTGCGGAGAGAAAGGTTAAGACCACTGAGAGGAGCGTCCTCCGGAGGTCTAGAGGGGCCGCTCCGGGAAGGAGGCGGGGGTCTGCGGGCCTGGGTGACGTCACGGGGATGGGACAACTCCCCCCACGTCCCCGCCCGGACAGA